CATTTTATAATTTTAAATAACAATTGAAATTAATAATATTATAAATAAAAGCTTACTAAAATAACTAAAATAAAAAGTTTAATATTAAATAACATATAATATTTATATAGTATATTTAGTAAATATTAAGTTGGTATTATTTTAATAAAATATCTTAATAGGTAAAATTAAAAAAAAATTAAAAAAAGTACAATTTTAAATTATAGTATAATCTTAAAAAAAGATATTTTTGTGGTAAATTTTTTTTTTTTTTACTTTTATACAACTAGCTAGAAAACCCCTTTTTTACGTAGAAACCCTGTTTTTTCGCCCCCTATATAAGTAAGAGGAGTTTTACACTTAATGTGGCTAACTAACGCCCCTAGGTATAGGCAGTCAGTTGATGAGTCCTGCCTGCCTTTTAGAGGTACCTAAGGTGCGCCTCATCCATGTGTGCCCGGGCCCCACTCTTTCTTTGCGCATGGGCCTCTCTACCTATATTGTACTACCTACCTAATCACATGGCGACGGCGCTCATTATCTTATGCAGGTACGTCGCATAGTGCATGAGCTTAGGAAGCTCTTCACACAAACAACTGCGCAATGATCATCTGTACCGTTGTTTGGTATTTTTCACTTGTCCACGCATCGGATCACACCCGAGATTAAAAGCAATCGCCAGTATTTGGCAGTGGCGCTAACAGGACCTTAACCTAGAGCGTCTCTCCGCGTACCGCCAAGACTGGTGTGCTATCTTGTGTATATATACGTACAGAATCGCAATGGGTGCTAAACCAAACCTTCCAAACCGCCTTCACCTCTCCTACCCACTGTCCAGCTAAGGCACAGACTGGTGCTACCGGCCCCGTTGTTTGCTGTTGTTGTTTATAACCAACAACAATCCTAGGTGCTTGTGCATTCTCAATCCCCAGAAACGGGCATTCGTGTGTACCGATCATGATCAAAACCTGACTTGTTAACCAAGCTTACCGTCTGCCTTGGCGTCTATTTGCAGCGTCAGTTTCGAAATCGTGGGTATCAACTGGTCCAATACTCACCCTTCACCTGCTCGAACACCTTGAGCATCTTCCTTCTAGCTCCGAGAGCATTGACACCACGGTCCTCCAAAGCCTTGTCGTCCAGCTCGATCAGCTCGTGCCACTTCATGTCCTTGAGGTTTTCGGTGTATTTATGCAGACGAAGACTTCGGAGCCAGCTAGGAATGTCTTGCAACAGAGTAGGGTCTGTGGGATCTTCAGGAGGCTTCGAACTGCCGCGTCGTCCTCTAGGAGATCGACCGCGCACCATATCGGAGTGGTCAGACAGATATCCCTCATGACCTCCAACACCCAGCTGCCCCACGTTCACCTGAGGAATACCATTATTGAGAAGGGGTGAGGATCCATCGTAGGCGCTGAGGAAACCGTTATTCTGGGGAGAGGCGAACGCCATTGGCCCACCAAAGCCCGGCTGCATCGCGATGCCGGGAGAGCTAGGGCGAGACCGGTGCTGACCAAAACCAATGTTCTGTGCCTGCAGGGCTAGCATCTGCTCGCGGGTAAGCACTTGACCATGCTCATTGATCATGACGACGTTGGCACCCGGAACGTTGACACCTTGTGCGTTCGGGGGCATTCCTTGAGGGGCGCCGCCAGGGGCATCGTTCGAGCGAGCACGTCTGTACTTGCGTACGTCGTCCAAAGCGAAGCGATTGTTGACCGTCGAAAGGGCCGCGAGCTTCATGGCGGTTGCATTCGCAACCATGTCTGCCTGAGTGCCACTTTGCTGGGCACTGAAGTTGGCGACAAGGGGGGTGTTGACCATCGACGCCCAGTTTCCGCCGCTGGGATTGTAAGGGGACAAGAGGGGAAGATCCGCCGGCTTGTCACTGGTAGTTAAAGTGGTATTCTGGATATTCTGGTTGCCTGAGATCTGCGGGCGAGGGGATCGTAAGCCGCTTGATGGTGGCGCTTGAAATTGACCCATCGGGGGTTGACCGCCAGAAGGCTTGGCTCCCTGTGCAGCTTGATCGGTCCCAGTCCATGGAGAGCCTTGGCTCTGTCCGTTCGAGTCGTGACCGTCGCCTGGAGCAGAGATGGTTGGGGCTGCAACTGCGCTGTTGCGGTTTGACGAGGGAGGTGCGCCAGTCTGCTGTGTGAACTTTGCCTTTTCAGTTGCGATGGCTGCGGCAGCATCGGGGAACATGGCATTGATGGTTGAGGGGTCGAGACCCGATTGGCGTTTGCCAGTAGCAGTGCTTGAGGGACGGACCATGGAGTTCCTAGCAGAGTCGACGTTCAACTTATTCATGGCATCGCTAAGGCGGTTGGTCATGGGATCTTTGGCGGCAGAAAGTCAACAGGCTGCCGATAATGAACGAAGGGAGTTTGGGTAGAACAACTTACCTTTATCGAAGTTGGCAGGAGATAAGACACCGGACATTGGATGGTTCTTACCCATCTGTTGGAGGACCTGGATGAAGAACCGAATCTGTACCTGAGTAGTCTGTTGCAGAAGAGCATAGAGAGCAGCGGTGCGCTCGGCTTCGCTCAGAACCCTGAACCACTGCTCAATAGCACTCAACTCGTCCTTGAAATCCTGGTCAAGTGTTGCCGCCGCCATTTCCTCCAATGTAGTTTCATACTGGTCGATGTCGGCTATCCATTGCTGCGCAATTTTATCCTGGGGGTCTGTTTCGTGGTTGCCGTGGCCCTGGCCCTGCTGAGACTGACCATAGAAGTCGGAGGATGGTCTAATGCGACTCGAGGGTGACGAGTTTTGAAGGGCAGCCATGTCTGCCGAAGCCCTCAAGTGGCTATTGGCAGGGACAGCCCTCGACGAAGGGGGTCGAAGAGAAGACGTCGTGTTTGCCTCGGGAGTACTGTTGCGGTTTCCCGCATTATGACTGCCAGACATGTTGAGCATGGTCGACAGACTGCGGAAAATAAGGGAGGGTGAAGTCGCGCAGTGGCGGCGAAGAGGTTGATGTCAAATGACGGCGGAAAAGTTGGCAGGTGGCAGATGAAACGATGCCGGTGGCTACGGTGAAGGGTGTCGTGTCTTTGTCTAGCGATGGAAGGGGGGTCGGCCCGGGAAAGGAGGGACCAGCGCTGTTTCGAGATTTCGAATGGTCCCAAGATCCAATCAACTCAATTCCAGTGAACGAATGCCGTTGGTGCCACTCCAGAGGAAAACTAGGAGATCGGCTTGCGAAGTGCAAAACCCGAACAAGCGAATTGGGCAGCTGAGCAGCCAGACAAATTTTCCGAGGGTCGTTCAATTGAAGTTCAGGGGAGCCAAGCGACCTGTTCTTTTGTTCCCGTTTGGCAGAATTCCGAGGGTGCGGGAGGAAAAAGAGAAAATCCTTTATGGTACGTATTTGGTACCCAAAGCTCCTGCAGAAACCTGCCTGACCTCAAAGGAGTCGGGATTGAATGAGGAACCTGCTTAACACATGTCTTGTCGGTAAAGGAGGGCTTTGGTTGAGAGAGCCCAGGATAGTGATTTCCTGAGGGTTGCCTGGTGGGCAAGATGGCGGGATGCTGGAGTAGTGCTGTTTTGAGTCGTGCCAAATATGACGGGAAGGAAAGGCAAGCGGCTTCGCGCGTGCTTTGTTCTGTCGACAGCGAGTCCGGATGAGGACAGCGGCGGCGCCGTACAATGGTATAATGGCGACTCGCTCTCTGAGAGATGTGAGGGTGTGAATGATAGTGAAGTGGGGGAGAGGAGCGGGCAAGATGGTCAGAAATTCAATGCTCTAGCGAGCGAGCAATATTATTCAAGAGGTGCTGCTTCCAGGCAGGTAATACGATATTCAAGGCTGGCGTCGTCTGAAGGTATTACCCGATTGAAGGGGTTGAGGAAGAAAAAAAGGGTGAATTGCTTTCTTTGGGTTTGAGGAGACGTACTCATGTGCCTGGGGTCCGTTCAGCAACGTGGCGTGGCTTCTGCTTAGTCATAATACCTCAACATCGGGAAGTCCGCCGCAAAGCACCACCCACGTATCTTTTTCTGTTCCCTATTCCCTGTCGTCTACTGTATGCAGTACAAATACGGACCAGATAGGCAACTCTCCGTGAAAGGCCTCTCTCGTTTCAGGTCAAGTTGCTGACTGACTGATAGGGCGCAACATCCCGTAATTGTAGTGCCTGACTGGTTCGTTTCAAATTACCTGGAATTTATAGCGACCTACGAGTGGCGCACGATAGAAGCAAACAGCGTGCCTTTGTTGTTTCTGAGTTGTGTTGCAGTTTCCAGTACCTGGGTGGGTCAGGGAGAGAGACTGGAGACGGGGCTTCTCTTTTGTGGTTCCCGATTCCTTCCTAACTACTCTGTCTAAGTCTCATTCGTGACTCGGGGTGCGAGCTCGGATTCGGCCGCTGAACCAAGTGGAGGAATCAGCCATCGGACTAGCCCAAAAGAAGAGCATCGGTGACGGGGGCACCATCGAGAGCACTCAGAAAAGGGCAGAATCTTCATTCTCTTGAAGAGGTCATTGTTCCGCAACGCCAACGGATCCTTCACCACCAGAAAATCTGCCCCTTACACTCAGTTCCCCCGTCGTGTGCATTTGGTTTTTACATCGTATCAATTGCGTATATGTTGCGAGCCAAGTTGACTAATATTCGATTCGATTTCCGTGTAATCTACAAATGCAAGAAGCGTTGGTAGGCACGTCGTAGGATCTCGCAACTTCACGACAATGTAGCCTGTCCTTCACTCGCCCACGTCCGACGTGTACTTTCTCGAGTAGAGTTAGTCAACCAGCAGTATGGGGAGCGCGGGGTTCTCGTCCGAAGCACAGTTGAGCTGGATATTCGCGCTGACTCTCTTGAACCACTTGGTAAAATACTGGACAGAAAAGGTGCACAGGTAAAGGTTCAAAGGCCGAGGTTGGATCGTGGTTGATTGATTCATTTGCTGGCTTGAATTTTCGCCAGTTCCATTTAATTCCCTATGCCCCGTTGCATCGTAGCCATGCTGTAGAAGAGACCAATACCCATGAACCCAGCGCTACCCATTTATGCCGTCTCGCGCTTGCCCTCCTTAAGCTCCTTCTGTCGAAGACGTTAGTACTTGCTTTCACGATTACAAGATGGGTCGAATCGTAAAGGGAGGCGTACGAGGGCCTTCATGGTGCCGTGCAGAGCATGACGATGGTTGCGGCGGAACTTGGGATCGGTGCCCTTCAGCGACGGGTATCTCGAGGTCTTGGGCTTCTTGATGCTAAAGGCAGAGAAGAACTCGTTAATATCCAGAATGTTCTCCTGACTGCGTCGGGTGCAGAGGTTCAATCATACCCGTTGCGGTGCGCCTTGCGCGACTGGTTGTGCTGCGAGGAGTTCTTGGACTCTGCGATCAAAACATTAGCAAAACTGTCGATTGGGCAATTGGTGTAAGAACAATAGGGTCACTACTTACTGGCCATTGCTGCGGTCGTACGGTGCCCCTGACGTGATGGAGAGATCTGGAGTGTCGTCCGTGGAAGTTTGGGTAGCCGGAAAAGGTGACTTTGGGATTGTGGGCAAAAAACAGCAGCCCTAATTTTGTGGAAGTACGTACCTGCCGCAAGTGGGGTATCGATGCAGACATACCTTACCTTACCTAAGGTAGGTAGTTACACAGTACACTACCTCTCGACCTGAGCATGGACCTACCGTGTCCCACCGCCAAGCACTTGCGACACGTCGTTATGAATTTAACCAGAGAGAGACAAGTTGCACAATTGTAAGTCTATCGTTTTGACACATGCAAGTCCTCCTAACACGCCACCGCTTGCACCGGCGACAGCCAGAAATAACCACAGAACAAAATAAAGGAAAAAAGACGACCACAACGCGAAGATAAAAAGAAAACCCTCAGTTGCACTGTTTGAAATCAGAACTGCCACTCTTGCGTTGTTGTTGCCTCTAGACAATGCCAAGTGCTGCTCATCCACCTCCAGTTCTACAAGCTCATCGGTACGAAGCATCTATATCTTCAGCGGCCGCTTCGGCCGCCTGTCTAATGATACTGGCCATGCCTCACCTTGCAATGAGTGGCTTTATCGATGAAACATTACCAGCCGCTCCAGCAGTCTGCGCAATTTTCTGCAGCTGCTTGGCTCGCAGGTTCTTGAGATAACGGAAGAAAAGAACAAATAAAAGTTCCATGCTGTCTTCTATTAGCTTGGTCTAGGCTGTACTGGATGCTTACATACCGCTCCTTGGTCATCATGAGGATGCCTTGCACGAGGAAGCCCTTGAGGATTTGAGGGCCAATGCCCTTGAAAAGACCCAGGACACCTTCGCGCTCGACAATGAACTTCATCACCTCCACAAAACTACCGAAAGGCTTGCCGTTTCTCTCGGGAGGGGGCCTTGACTGCAGACCAACTTTGGCAACAATCAAAGGTTGCGTGGTGATGGTGGCCAGCGCTTTCGACGCGGCTCCCAAGACTAAAGATACCGAGTCAGCTTGGGTCTGGCAGCGGAGATGCACACGAGGTGTAACTGTAGTCAAATGAATGGGCAACATACGGAAGGCTTCCCATGGTTTCAAGTTGGTTTTGCCCGGGAAGAAGGATTCCTTGAGTCTCTCGTAGGCACCGTACGTAATAGCAGGGTTGACGACCAGTACCAAACTCGCCTTCAACCCCCTCCACAGTCCAAATACGCCATCTTCTCCCTCTACGACTTCCCGAGCCGTATCGACAAAGCCCTTGCGTTCGGTCTTGCGCTGGGTCTGCTGGCGAGTGGTAATAACAGCAACAGGTATTGTGCAAAGCTGAGCGACAGCGCCAGCGACCGCGCCGAGACTCAGCTCAACCAACGTTGAAGGTGGTGCAGATGTCTTGGCAGAGCGCAGGTAGAGTGTGCGGACAACAGAATACCAGTAAAAGTAGGCAAAGTTTGTCGAAGCGACACCGAGAAGGGAGCCAGCCATACCCGAGTAAAGGCCCTTAACACCGTCATCCGTAACGATCTTGCTGAGAGCGTCCCAAGTAGAAGAGTAATGCGGCTCAGTGGGCTCGTTCGACTCGGACTTGGTTGTGGTTGATTGCGACTTGACTTGGACCTGCAGGCGCGTCTTGACGCTGATTGGGGAAAACACGGTCAGCTAGGATAGGACATGAGAGGCAATTGAACGATCGAACCGAAAGCAATTGGGGCCAGGCATGGCGACGGCTGGGTTGGATCACACGAAGGTATCGTGAAAAGAGATGCAGCAAGGTGGGAGAGGAGGTTTTCTCACATGTCAAGAGGATACACCAACGTATTGGCCAATACGGCACCGGTGGCGCCAGCGACAGCTTTGCCCCATGGTGATAGATTCGCCGGCTTGGATTGAGCACTCATGGCTGTCTTTTACCTCCAAAAGCGGAAGGACGGTACACTGGCAGGCAGGCGGACGAGTGTGTCGCGACAAGCACCTCAGGGGGACGAACAGTAGGGCCGCGGCAAGGGCCTGAGGTCGTCGGCGTCGGCGTCGGCGTCGGCTATCCGCCCCGGTCGGGATCCGAGGCTAGAACAGCGGGCGATGAGGAAATACAAGTATCTCCCGCGAACTTAGTAAAGGGTGATATGACAACAACAACAACGACGACGACGACGACAAATCGCAACTAAAGCTCACTGGGGGCCTACGGTCAAGCTGAGTGCACAACGTTGGTCGAGACGAAGGGTCCAGTCCAAACTTTAAGGGCGACAAGCGTGCGCAACGGCTCCCCATGACCCATGGGTGGCTATGACGAGCTGCTGGGCCGGGGAGGTGTGTCGACTTGCGCCGACGACCTCGGCCCTTTGAGACTGGGACCCTGCCAGCCGGCGGACCAGCCAAGCTGTGTTCGGCTAATCGGTGAGGTCCCTTGGGGGGGAATGCTTCGGCACATTACTTAAGCATGGATGCAATGTGGAGTGATTCGGAATCTACGCCTACCTAGCTTCCTAGGTTTCCTAGGCACTTGAAGGAGCCTCGTGGCGTGGAACATGGACCGTTCAATGAGACAAGAGAGACGGCTGGCTCATGGGACGAGACCACAGATGAATGAGATGCAGCCCCAGTCGCCGGAAAATCCCAACCGTTCAGCACTTGGAGGCCTGTCTCGACGAGTCTGACTTCTTTCAACCTAAGATAAGGTAAGCAAGTCAGTAGCTGCAGCAGAGCTACGCACGCACAGCAGAGATATGCCTTAAGCAAAGGTGTCTGTCGGAAAAAAATATGGCACAGTGACCAGCCAGCAAGCGATTCCGGGCAGGCGGTGCGCCGCATCGAATTATTTCAATTCTCTCACTCATCTATGCATGCTTCGAAATTAGCAGCCAAGGTAACATGATTGAATTACTCTACTCAACCCACTACGGCCTTCATCATCACTACTGTACTTGCCGCTGCCCTGTGTCAGGTCGGACTGTTGGTTTTGCTTTGCACAGCCTCCATCCGGCGCCCGTTCCGCTAAGTCCGTCTCATCCCACCAACCCAATAACGGGGCCTTCCCTCACATACGTAGATTCCTGTTACCAACCACGCGCCTACGTCCTCAGGAAACCCCTCCCCCGCGCAGACCCTTGCCATCCGTAAGGTGTCAGTCGTGCCCTGATCTCCCTTCCCTCGAATCAGGATCAGATCGACAGCTAACCGCAGAGCAAGAGCAGCTTGACCTTATGTTCGAGCTGGAATCACAGTCTCATGTCATGTGTCTGCAATAACCTCGCTGCTGGCTGGTTGATGCTTAATTGCTTGCCTCTTCGCTCCAGGATCTTGGAAGCCTTACGACCTGCCTCATTGAACCTGCTTCCTCCCGCACATCGGCGAGCTTGGCCATGCTGCCTGCTCAGTCGGCACTATGGAAGCAAGAGCTCTTGTGAGTGAAACATATTGAAGTTGTCCCACACCGACATCGTTGTCTCGAAAACACGATCTGCTGACCAAATACGGCCCGCGATTTAGAGAGAAGAGGCCCTTATGGCCAGATCGACAGGCCGCGAAGCGCTGAACCACGCTATTGCTGCTGCCGATTTGTACATGAAGGCTGCAAAGGAGACAACTTCGCAGGCTGACCGCGGCCGCTTCAGGAAAAGCTGTGAGAGACTCATCGCCCATGCTGAGAAACTAAAATACAGCACGGTCGCCATAGCTTCTGACAGCCTGAGCGGGACCGGCCCTTCCTTGGCTGGTAGTTCTCGCTGCCAGGTACGTCAGATTCCTACTGGGGAGCGTACAATCCTCCTTCGATCATCTCGTCTGCATGGCAACATTTTCCCTCCGTGGCAGACCGACCCTGCCGACGACGTGTTCAGCCCATCTCAGGGTATTCAAATCTTCACGTGAGTGCCATAGACCTTGAAGCCAGTCTAGTCACGTCCACGACCGACTTGCGTCGTTTGATAGCCGGCTGCGTCACTCACACCCAGAACCCAGAGACCCTGCCGACTTTACCATGTCAGCACGTCAAGAGGCTATTCTTGATGGTTGGAAACGACCGGTCGAAAAAGCAATATCAGGCTCCGTAGATGATAATTTTATGGGCACCAAAGGTGAATGCGACCTAGTGCAGGACATTACAACCGATTGCTCTGTGGTAGCTAGCTTGTGTGCTGCCATGCGAATTCTCCTCGGCAAGAAACACTCTGTGGGTACCATCTCGTATGAGCGCAAGTTAACTTGCTAATCGTGACTGGCCATATAGATACTCGGTTCCATCATGTTTCCATTCGATCATGACATGGGTAGACCGAGAATCTCGAGCAACGGAAAGTACATTTTTCGGATGCACTTCAACGGCTGTTTCCGCCAAGTCGTAGTTGACGACCGGCTTCCGGTCTCGCGGAATAATCGTACCCTATTCGTCGTGGACCGTCTGAACCCGAATCTTTTATGGCCAGCTCTGATGGAAAAGGCCTACCTCAAAGTACGCGGAGGTTATGACTTTCCCGGTAGTAACTCTGGCACGGACTTGTGGGTTCTCACAGGTTGGATCCCTGAGCAGCTTTTTCTGCAGAGGTGCGTAAGAATTCTTTCAAGACCGTGGTACGGTCAGTTGCAGCTGGTGAGGATAGCTGACGAGGCGACCTAGTGAGGACGTTGACCTCGAAGGCAAGTGGGAAGAAATCAAGGAAGAGTACCATGCCAGCAACCTTATTATCACGCTTGGTACCGGCCGCTTGACTCCTTCTGAGGAGGATGCTCTCGGTCTCGTAGGCGAGCATGATTACGCCGTGCTCGACATTGACAATTCACCATCAGCCCGTCGTCTTCTGGTCAAGAACCCTTGGTGTGACGGGCTCGTATGGAAAGGAGTGGGTTCTTCTGGGCTGGCTGAGGCAACGGCGAGCCTCTCATTGTCCAAGGCACATACTTCCGTTGAAACTCAATCGCCGGAACACTCTCGCCCTGTGGGCTCTTTTTGGATATCCGTCGACGATGTCGCCCAGAACTTCGAGTCCATGTACCTGAACTGGAATCCGGACATGTTCACGCATCGACAGGACCATCATTTCACATGGCGCGTTCCGTCACAGAACATGACATCCTCATTAGCCTACAATCCGCAGTACTCTGTGAGATCTCGAACTAATGAGACAGTGTGGATTCTACTGAGTAGACACTTCGCAGATGAGGAGCTGGAAATTGCCCGAAAGCGATCTGCTTCACTAGCTGCCGTATCTAGGCAGTTGGGTTTCACCAGCATCTTCATATTCGAGAACCAGGGCAATAAGGTCCAAGTCAGAGAGGGCTATGCGTATCAGGGGCCTTACGTTGACTCGCCGCAGACGCTGGCCAAATTCCAGCTCCGCGCTGGTGAGCCGTACACCATTGTCATGGCCCACCAAGACCTGCCACTGGAAAATTACACCTGCACTTTTACATTATTCTCCAGAGCCTCGTTGGAGGTGAAGCCTGCCGAAGAGGAAATGAGCTACTATAGGGAACTGTCGAGCGCATGGACTAGGAGGACTGCAGGGGGCAATGCGTCTTCAATAACGTACTCGCAAAATCCCCAGTTCAGCATATTCATTCCTCGAGCAACGCCACTGTCAATTCTCCTCTCCTCGGCAGATCGGGAGGTGGCTATCCATGTCGACCTAGTCTGGGCACACGGGAAGAGGGTCACTTCCATCGGCGTCAAGGACGTCGTTGCTAGCTCGGGTGACTACCGAAGAGGGAACGCCCTCGTACAGGTCCCAATAGTAGATCCGGGCACCTATACAATCGTCTGCTCGACCTGGGAACCAGGCCAGCTCGCTGACTTTGGGATGCGTGTGGGATCACACGCTGAATGTCAGGTTCAGCCCATCCTGAATGATGGAGCTGGCCTTCTGCGCATTCGAACGCCGACCTTCGTCTTCGGTGAAGGGGAGGAGCAAAGGAGAGCGCTGGTGACAGTATCAAGACTTACCAGAGCGCAGGTTGTCGTACGCTGTCCTATATTGACGGGACGCCACAGCCAGCACATTCCAACGACTGCTGTTCGCGTATCTCTCGTATACGGGCGTGGTCCTCAAGAATCGGTCCTCACGGTGTCCGGAGGTGGCGAGTTTCGGGAGCTCACCATGGCGGTACGGACACCCGAGTTTGACATTGAGCCAGACCGGCTCCTGCATGATCAACTGTGGATTGTGATCGAACAGCTTGGGAGTCGCCAGGGTTTCCACAACATTGAAGTTGAGTTCCTTAGTGAGAACGTAGTCCAAGTCGGCAACTGGCAAGTCGTGGACGGCCTGAATTGAGAATTTCTTCTATCCATCAGGAGAAACAAGCATTACGGTTTATGAGAGAGCTATATGTACTAGCCATGAACCTTGTACATGATGCCATGTATGTTGTGTGTGTGTTCGGCCATGATCCGACGATATGCGCCCATCCCGGAGGGAAGAAGAGAGAGATGGATGCTACAATATGTGGTAGTCTAAAATCGGAACTTGGAGGATGCCATGGTGCTTGTAATGGTTACTTTTGTTACGATCCCCAAGGATGCTTTCGCAAGAGAGTCTGGGGCCCGGCGTGAGGTAGAATACTAGAATGACGAAACTAAAACCAAGAAACAAGGCAGAACGTGACGCGACGCGAACGACTCGTCAATGTGGTATATAGTCCACCGCAACGCCAGAAACCCTTTGGATCAAGACAGAACAATTCCCGTCGTGAACTCGTGCCGTGCCAACTTAATGGGCCTCATGATCCGTACCAAGAATGCCTCCCTCTTCGCAAATGAACAACGAAACGCGATAAAACTGGCCAAAAACAAAATCCCCAATCGCAAATTCGGCATCGTAGCCCGCAGCTCCGTGGGCTACAACGAAAGCCCCTATTTACAACCAATCCGGTCATGGGCCCAAAGCCTGATCTCGTCTGGCTC